CAATCACCTCCAGACTCTTCAAACCCATCAACCTTTTTCTTTTCCTTGCCAAACAATCCTTTATTATTGCGGGCGTAGCCGCAACAGATCCCCTAGTCTCAATAACCTGCACAGTAAATCCTTTGGACACCAGAGTAATCAATGCTGGCAGACTTTTTCTCACAAAATAAGTGAGACAATTGGGATAGGGTGTGTAGGTGCAGCTGAGGGAGGGAAAAGTTATTTCCGGCGTCTGATACAGGGCAAAGAGGCTTGCCCCTATTTCTCAATAACCTGCACAGTTAATCCTCTTGACACAAGAGTAATCAATGCTGACAGACGTTTTCTGAGTTACTTTCTCTGAGGGCATCTTGAATCTTTTGTATATGGGATGCTGGACTCGTTTTCCGGCAGGTGATGCTTCCCACCAATAGATGGAGCCCCTCTCTAGGTGCTCGTGGTGTCTATTTCGACCATCACCACTATCACTGCAGAGGCTGCTGTTAAAAAAAACAAACAGAAAATGTAGTCCATGTTGCTGGCACGCTAAGCCTGTTAACAGAGTGTCTACGCCCTCTGGTAAAGCGCTGCTTGCGACTATTTCCCACACTTTTGTAGCCTTGTTCCAAAACCTCTTTGTGTCACTACAGTGACTACACAGTAGTAGCCAGTGTTTGGTGTCCTCAAGTCTCTCCCTCGTCGCAATTTCCACACCTCTGTCTTAGGGGATCTATGTTTTCCTTGCTGCTGCATTTGCTTACTGATCGAGGCAGTAAATCAACCACTATAGACTCTTAAACCACTAGTTAACCTGGGCTTGGAACACTGCACTGACCTCTTGGCTTTTCCTAACCGCCAGCGTTAAACTTTCCAAATGTAAGCACCGTCACTGCGTGTGTGCACTACTATGCGCTACAATCAAATGTACCGATCACAACTTTCACAAGAAAATATCAAATAATCTTAATTTAATCAAAAAACAAAAAGTTGGCCGGTAAGTGTGTTGGCTTTGTAGTATCAATCAAGAAAAGGAGGTCACACACGCCTTCAAAACTGCACTCCCATACACTCCCTATTTTTTCTCTAAACACACGGCTGGTTATAGAAAGAAAAGTGATCACGGCTCGCGCGGCATACTCAACTTTCGAATAAAAACTACTTTTATATTATTTGCAAAAACTTTGGTGCATACCCTTGGAAGGGTATTCGCACTGACAACGCACACAAGAAAAAATTGAGAGCAAGAGCGCGCGCGCGCGCGCTCGAGAGAGAGAGAGAGAGAGAGAGAGAGAGAGAGAGAGAGAGAGAGAGAGAGAGAGATTCCATTGGGCACCAACCATATCTTGAGTAATCTGTAAAACAAAAAATATTTTCCGTTATAAACTTGTGCATAGTAACTGACAAATTTATGCCCCAAATTTTCCAACTCTGGTGAGGCACGAGCAAATGCTTTTTCAACAGACAAGCATCTACAAATGAACCTTTCCATATAGAACATCTTATTTGTTTTTGCGAGTGAAGCCGCAACAGGTCATCTAGTATGTATACATATGTATATGTGCAAGTGTGCCTGGCGGCAGACGGGTGTGTTGGCACTTGGCGTTGAACCACACAAATGTGGCCAACCTTGCATTTTTTATTATTATCTCTAACCGTTTTGTTTTATGGATGACTTGTGATGATTGTGAAGGGAATGAGAGAGAGAATTTGGGGTCTTTGAAAACAACACAAACATGGGAGTGACGGAAGACTTTTTTTTTTTTTTTT